CTCCAGGATCACGCCCTGGGCCAAAGGCAAGCGCTAAATAGCTAAGCCACCAGGGATCCCAAAATGGTGGTTTCATTAAAGCAGGGGGACAGGACCCGTGGGCAGGAAGAGCTGCTGCCCTGGCCTGTGAGGGGTGGCTGATTATATACCTGGGAGTTGGGAGGGGTTTGAGGATAGTGTACCCTCTAAAGAATTTGGAAGCAAAGTTTCCAGGACCTTGAGGGGGCCAGCTATTGTTGGGAAAAGGTCACGTATTACCGTCTAATAAAACCTGAGTCATGAGACCCTTCAGATGTGTATGGGTGGGCCATGTGCTTGGGGGATGATTGCCAACATGTATCTTGGGGGATGGAGATAAAGGAACTTTCTAAAGGAATTTTTACATGTTAAAGTAGACTTGTAGGATCCTGGGGGTCCGGCTAAGATTACCTTTTACCCTTAGCAAAGTATGAACATTGAGGCAGTTGAGTCCATAGAGGAAGGTCCCTCTGCCTGTTTTAAGGACTTGTCAATGTGCTGCCCTGGCCTTGTGCTTTGTCCTCAGCTAGTCCTCTGTTCCCCCATCACAAAGGGAAAAAGATGCGTTAATATAAAAAGAGCCAGAGAGAACTGTGTGGTAAAGGCTGGGCCCATACCTCATCTAGTATTGTGCATAGAATCCTCCTCTTCTAGGTGCTGTGCTATCTCATGTAGGTGTGTAATACATATGCAACAATGTGTGGTGTAGTCTTTTTTTTTTAATATTTTATTTATTTATTCATGAGAGACACCCCCCCACACACACAGAGGCAGAGACACAGGCAGAGGGAGAAGCAGGCTTCCTGCAGGAAGCCTGACATGGGACTCGATCCCAGGACCCCGGGATCATGCCCTGGGCCAAAGGCAGATGCTTAACCAACTGAGCCACCCAGGGGCCCCTGTGGTATATCCTTGTACCAATCCTTGTATAACCTTGGAGTTACAAACTCAAAGGCTTTCCTTTGTGTCTGTAAGAATATTTTTCATGTAACGGGCACTTGGTAGTTTCTCAAGAATTGCTAGCTAAATAGTGAATAAAATAATAGAGTGGGTTTACCAGTGGGTGACAAGTGCTTGCAGAGCACCATAAGTAGAGTAGACCCCAGCAAGGGGTATATTCCTTTAATGGAGATCTGAATATGAATGAGTCCAGACCTCTCCATCCTTCGCAATCACTCAGCCAAACCACTCAAGTCAACAGGATCTAAGTAAAACAGGTTGATTGCTATGCAAATGAAGCTTCCAAACAAAGTCCCTAGCAACCGCCTGCCACCATCACCAATCAGCTTGCTTCTCCTAATCCCCTCAATTATAGAATTTCTAGAGCAGCTCTGGGGGCGGCCCAGCCTAAAGGGAAGGGAACAGATGGGGTGGCCTGGGCACCACTGAACTGAGGCGAGGTGGAAGTATGTTAGCTCTGAGCACAGGAGGGTTTCTGGAGGCTTATTATGGTCTCTTGAACCTCAGGAGGTAGGGGAACCACATCCTGGTCTCACAGACCTACCCTACTGTGAACAGCGATCTAAGTCCCCCTTTCCCTCAAACACTTAGGCCACTTGACCATGTGTTACCTCCGCCTCTTAGTGACCCAGATACTGCCTTCAGCAGCATCCTCTCTCCTCAGTGAGGCATGCATTTGATGCCTGAGGTCCCAGGCAGTAGAAGTCCTTGATAAGAGATATGTGAGTCCTGTGTATCATAGGAAGCTACTAACCTCCATCTGGTGACCAAAGGCTTGGCCACAAGCAGTAGGTTGCTCTTTCTCCACCCAGACCTTACTTCTCAGGTCCCCTTTGCCAATTGGAATACCCTCTGACATGACCTGGATGCTGTTGCTCATCTTCATTGTGGTCCATCCAGGTGAGAGAGCTTTCTTCCAGAACCCTGGGAGTGTGTGGGGCTGGGAAAAGGGAGGATGGAAGAGGCTGACATTGAGGTCTGAGGTAGGTGGCTGGGAAAGGAGAATGGGAGCGGGTGGGGTCTTCTGGAAGTCGAAGCAGTGTGGACACCCCCAGTTCACAATTCCCTCCATTTCTCCATGTTGCTACTGGGAGAGTCACACCCCAGTTTCCATCCCAAACATCCTTTCTTCCCAGCCACCATCTTGGTAAGATGAAGTTGAATAACCAGTATAAAGGGCTGGAGGGGAGGAAGAGGTGAATTTTTTTTTAAGGGGTCAATTTTAGTTCGATGAGCTTAATAAGCCCATTAGGCAAGGCTTATTATCTAGAGTCTAGATGTAATTAGGAGTTTGGAAGACCTAATTAACTCTAAGGGAAGTTTTTTAGTGAAACTGATTTTAATTAACTGAGAGACATTAACTATTAGCCATATCCATGAACTTAGTGTGGACAACAGGCCCCCAGCTTTATTATTATTATTATTATTATTTTAAAGATTTTATTTATTTACCCATGAGAGACACACACAGAGAGAAAGGCAGAGACACAGGCAGAGGGAGAAGCAGGCTCCATGCAGGGAGCCTGACGCGGGACTTGATCCTGGGACCCCAGGACTACACCCTGGGCCAAAGACAGATGCTAAACCGCTGAGCCACCCAGGGATCCCCACAGCTTTATTATTTTTAAAAGATTTTATGTATTTGAGGGAGAGCAAGCAAGTGGGCAAGCATGAGCAGGGGTAGGGGTAGGGACCAAGGGAGAAGCAGACTCTCTGCCGAGTAGGGACCCTGACACAGGGCTTCATCTCAATTGAGACCCTGGGATCTGACCTGGGCCAAAGGCAGACAGATGCTTAACGGACTGAGCCAACCAGGGGCCCCATCAGACCCATAGCTTTAGCATCAGCTGGGAACCTGGGGCAATTTCTCAGGCCCCCCACCCTAAATCTACTGAGTAAAAAACTCTGGGGGTAGGGCCCAGGAACCTGTGTTAACAGACCCTCCAGGTGATTCCAGTAGGCTCTCAAGTTTAAGAACCTCTGAAACAGAAGAATGACAGGTAAAATTCATGAGCTAGAGAATCTAATCGGAGATTTTACTAATTGCCTTAATTAATCAATTTAGATGAGTTAAACAGGGATTTCAATCAATTATAGCTGTGTCTTCACCCGAAGACTTTATTAGTTTATGCTCTTTAACAAAAAGGCAAAGTAGCCAGGGTGGTGTACTTATAGAGTATGCCATTGGTATGAAAAGAATACCTGGAGTAATATAGTTAATTATTAGTTAACTAGACAGCCACATTCATTAATGAGCTCCAATTTCAATGTAACAGGTTGAGTTTCAGCAAGATACTACGAGTGAATGTAGTTGGAGAATGATGGGATGGGGTGAGGATGAGAGTTGGTATAGGAAAGGATTTGAGAAACTATCTAATAAGCAATGTTAAGAAACTAGGCTGGTAGAGAGAAAAGGGTTTTATGAGGTACCAAAGTGCTTGTTCCTCTGGATACTCCGTGGGTGGGGACACAGTCGGGATGTTCTACTGCAAGCTCTATTGTCCTTTCCCACCCTATATTGTAACCGGGGAGGTTTTTCTGGGTCTTCTCTCTGCCTGCCAGGATCCTGTGCTCTCTGGGTGTTCCAGCCCCCTGAGATTCATACCCAGGAGGGCACTGCTGCCTTCTTGCCGTGCTCCTTCAATGCCAGCGGAAGGAAATTGGCCATTGGCTCTGTCACGTGGTACCGGGACAAGGTGGCCCCAGGGAAGGAAGTGAGGAATGGGACCCCCGAGTTCAGGGGCCGCCTGGCCCCTCTTCCCTCTTCCCGTTTCCTCTGTGACCATCAGGCTGAGCTACACATCTGGGACATCCAAGACTGTGATGCTGGAGTCTATGTGTGCAGAGTGGAGGTTCTGGGCCTAGGTGTTGGGACAGGGAATGGGACACTGCTGGTGGTAGAGAAAGGTGAGGTGGGAGGCCCCCCTCTTCCTGGAAGTTGGGAGTGTTTCCCTGAGGCCCTAGCTCTCTGTCCCTCCCTGGGCCTGTGCGTGCTTCTTCCTTAGGGCCCCCTCCTCCCCTTCCTTCTATGGTCCCCATGCAGGATCTCCTTGGCTAGGAACCAGCACAGTCCTCTTCCTTCGGGCTGGATTCTATGCCTTCAGCTTTATCTGTGTGGCCATGGGCAGCACCATCTATTACCAAGGCAAATGTAAGGAATGGGGCCAGGGCAATGGTGGAAGAGAGCTGGGAGGTGGGGACGGAGACCAGCAAGAGGGCTGTGGTGCCCAGCAACTCCTGTCCTCTCTCCTGCAGGCCACAGTCACCTGGGAACTCGCTGCCATTTCTTAGGTGGCCTCTGATGAGTGATTCCAGACCCCAGACATCCAACCCTCTTCAAGAGACCCCAATAAATCCTCCTCTGCCCCACCACTAATGCCTTCTTATGAGTCTCCTATACTTCTTTTTCCATTCTTGATACCCGAATATGCTCCTCCCCGGGGTCCCCCGACTCTTTTTTTTTTTTCCTAAGGTTTTATTTACTCATGAGAGACAGAGAGAGGCAGAGACACAGGCAGAAGGAGAAGCAGGCTCCACGCATGGAGCCCAATGTGGGACTCTATCCTGGAACCCCAGGATCATGCCCTGGGCCAAAGGCAGACACTCAATGGCTGAGCCACCCAGGTGTCCCAAGGGTCCCCCGACTCTTTACTCTCCCCTCACCAAGCCTGGCCTGGAAAGGTCCAAGGAGCAAGCTTCCCAGCAGCCATACCTGGAGCCCCCTCCCATGACCATCCCAGGGCTCAACACTGCTACCTCTTTGGGGCATGGAGACTGAGTCTCCTGAGGAATGCGGGCATCAGATCTGGTGAGTCCTATGTGTCAACCCCCACTCCAGCCAGGCCCATATGTGTACTCTTTCTGGCCTCCAGGAGAGTTTGGGCCCCTCAACACCGTTCTTTGCCCGAGGAATCACTCCTGGGCCACCGAATGGGTGGGGAGATAAGTTGCTTAGGTTTTGACGGTGGTGCTGTTTGGTGGGATGGAGTTGAATTGGACTGAGAAGCCTGAGACACAGACGGTGGCGAGATCATGGTTTTTACTGCATGGACCACAGGGTCCTCCTGGGTTCAGGGAGGCGGCTGGGGGAGCTCGGGGGGCTTAGTTTTTGGCGATGCAGGCATATTCAGTGCCGGGGTCCTCCTTGGAGCCTTCCCTGTGGCTGAGGTCGGGTCCCTCACGGCAGGGCACGGGCAGCAGAGATGCGTAGTGGAGCTCTTGCTCTGAGAGCTGGGCCTGGGGCCAGGGACAAGGTGCTGCTGGGAGGTGGTTGGAGGAGCCCCCCCCGGGCCGGCCCTTCCCGCCTTCCCGCAGGCTGCTGCCCAGCCCAGTGCGCCTCACAGCCCCCAGCGCCCCCTGCCCGCCTCGGCGCCTAAGGCCCCGCTCTCTTCCCCCCTCGCCTCTTCTCCCCCGCAGCTCCAGCTCCGGGGGCCGCCGTCCTTACTCTCCCTCCCGTTCTCTAGCCCACTCTCTCTCTCACTCTCTGGTTCTCTGTCTCTCTGACTCTGTCTCCTCTCTCTTGCCCCCTTTTCCTCTCTCTACACCAGTTCTCTCTGCTCTTCTCTCTTGTGTCCCTCTGTCTGCCTCTTCCTCTCCGCGCCTCGGCCTCTTTCATGGCCCTGCTTTCCCTCCCCTGTGTCGCCTCGCCTCGCCTCGCCTCGCCTCGCGGGCCCTCAGCCCGTCCTGCCGCCGCCGCCGCCTCTGGTCCGGACTCACCCAGCTCCTCTCCAGCCTCCTCACTGGAAGAAAAGAAGAAGCTCAGCAGGCCGGCGCCCCCTGCCCCCCCACCCCGCCCGGCCCAGAGGGTGTTTCCTCACTTGCACTCTCGCCTCCAGGGCGGGTGGGATGGGATGGGACAGGGACTTCTGTGAAAGGGTGGGGGGCGGGGCGAATGAGGGTAAAGTGGGGCTCACCTTTCCGATGAAGCCGACACAGACAGGCGGACAGAATGAGCACAGCCAGGAGCAGGAGCCCCCCCAGCCCCAAGCTCCCGCCATATAGGTAAGGGCATAAACCTGCAGGGAAGGGGAGACCCGTTTGTCCCTCTGGCTTCCCCCATCCTCCTGCTCATCCTCCTGCTCGGCCTTGGGTGTCTCAGCAACCCCCCACCCCCAACAGTTTAGAGGCAGAGAAACATGCTGGGATTCTTCAACCTGGATTGGGTTACCTCACCTCTACCAGAGGTGCCCATCTCTCATGGGTTACCTCAGGCCTAGGACCTCAGGCCTACGCATGACGACCGCTCACCCCTTGAAGGCTTCCCACTGCCATCCCTGCTGTCTCTGGGTCTCCCCACAGAGGTCCCTTGCCCACCTACTATGTGTAAAAGGACACATACACTGCCTTTTATCCTCTCTCCCCACCAGCCTCCCTGGGCAGAGGGTTTCCTTACCCTCTCTCCATTTCTCACAAGCTGTCATTAGGTCCAGCACTGAAGACTGACCCGGAGGTCAGGAAATGTAGCCCTGCTCTGCTCAGCTAAGTGGCCTGGGCCACATCACGTGCCTCAAGTTCCTCATGTGTAAGACGTGGGGCCCTCCATTACAACTGTCCCAAGGCTGAGGAGCCCCACTAATGTGCCAACCCTGATCTGGGCGCTTTCCATTTGTCACTGCTAATCCCCACAACACAGGGTATCAAAAGGTGCCCCTTTTGCCTGATGAGGAACCCAAACTCGAGTCCAGACTCTTATAAGCAGGTCCAGCCCAGAAATGGCACAAGTGGCCTTGAACCCCAGAATCTAGAGCACACCCCCCTTCCTCTGCCCTAGACTGACGAGGTGGTTCATAGGGGCCTCTCCAGCACTGGGTAGTTCTAGGTTCTGGTGAGGGGCTGATGGAGGAGGAGGAACAGGGTTTCCAGTATACGTGTGGACTAGTGAAAAGTGGGGAGGGTGGTATCCAGTGCTACCTGGCAGCTGGGGCCACCCCCCAGCCAGAGCCACTGAGGAGAGCAGGGCCCCACTTGGCTGGTGTGGAGAGCCACTTCCCACGGGCAGACCCTGCAAGGGCTGAAGTGTGGCATGGAGGAGCGTGTGGGCCCCATAACTTCCCCTCAGGCACTTCCTGCCCTGCAACCACTGGTTCCTGTTTGAGGGCAAAGAGGGGATTGCTGACTTCATGCCACCAGAGCCAGCTGCACTGACCAGGGTCTGGCAACTGGGACGCTCCTAGGTTCAGGAGGAATTGTGGGGTGTGTGTGTGTGGACTGGGGAGCAGAAACACAGGTGGAGAGGAGGGCCTGAGATAGACATGAGAGGAAGTGGGAGCAGAAGTAGATTGTATTTAATTCTTTGGGGAGCAGAGACAGAGGCTGGACAGCAGGTGCCTCCAGGGCTCAGGGAACCTCAAAAGCCATACTCTCTTCCCTCATCTTAGCTTCACTGTGGGGTATGACTGCCCCCCACCCCTATTTTCCCTACCAGGGTGCCTGCTCTCTCCCAGTTTATCCAAAGCTGTGGCCTGCCGGTAGAGACTCCAGACTGGCCGGAGCTGTCTGGGTGGAGAGGTGTTGCCACTTCAGACATTCTTGCCCCTCCTCTGGCTTTACCGTCTCCCCCAGTCTGGATACCTCCCTAGCTTTGTCAGGAGAGGAAATTTGGCTTTGAAGGTTGGGGTTATGACATCTTTCCTTTCAGACTCCTAGGACCATAACCTAGCCTATAATCCCCCTCAGCTCCAGGCAGCCTGCCGAGCCTGCTAGTAGTCCGTGAGTGTATACCTTCTCTAGGTACCTTTCCTGATTAACTTTCCCTCAATTACCCCTCACACTGCATCCGCTGTGAGCTCATGATCCCAATGTATATGTGTAGACACACATCCAGGCTCCCACACCAGAATGGGAGCACTGGTAGTTTGGGGGTAACTTGCCTGGTGTTCTGAGGCTGTATCTAGCAGGGCACTTGACTGACTGATTGACGGACAGAGTCAGAGGCAGCCAGACTAGATGTATAGGAGTACCTCAGTACTGCTGAGAGTCTAGGACAGAAAGCTGATGACAAGTTGGGGTTGGGAAAGAAGTGTGGGCAATCTAGGTGGATTTCCTGTAGGAGGCAGCATTCTGATGTTGAGCACAAAAATAAAAGCCGTGATCTGAGAACTTCTGGACAGAAACCTGGATGAAGGCCTGTTAGTGGCACTGAGATAGAGAAGGAGATGGGTGCTGGAGTCCTTAAGGAGGGTGGAGACTAAAAAATAAAATAAAATAAAATAAAATAAAATAAATTTAAAAAAAGGAGGGTGGAGACTGGAGAGCTCATGTTGAGGGAGGAGGTAAGGTGGATATGCATGCCTGCGTTCATATGCATGTGCATTTCCTCCTTCACATTCAGAAACTTTCTGGCATTTCTTCCCTCTCCCCCCATCCACAGTGTCCTCCATGTTGGACAGCAGGATAAGATTCAGGGTTTTATTTCCCCAACATTTTATTATTAAGATGTTCAAACAGAACAAAATTGAAATAATTTTACAGTGAACATATCCCTACCACCTATATTCTAAAATTGACAGTTTTCTATATTTGCTTTATCACATACCTATCAATCCATCTCATTTTTATGGATACCTTTCAAAGTTGCAGACATCAGTACACATCTTACCTCGAAACCTTTTACCATGCTTATCAGTGATTCGAATCCAGCTTTTATTTCCCCATTTCTTTTTTGGGGTTCTGAGGAAGTTAAGATTTACATACATTAAAATGTAAAAACTCAGGGTGTGTATGTGTGTGTGTTTAACTGTCTTGTGGTCAAAGCTGTGGAGCCAGACTGCCTGGGTTCAAATCCTGACCCTGCCACTACAGTGTGGCTTTCTATAAGTTCCTTTACCTCTCTGTACCTCAGTTTCTTCATAGAGTTTTTGTCAGGATTAAAAGAATTTCTATATATAAAGTGCGTGGATCGGTGGCAAGCACATGCTACGTGCTATTTGATTAACAGCTACATTATTATTACTATTACCTAATTGCAGAGATGTTATTAAGAAGGGGACATGATCTGGGACCACCTCCAACTTCCTTGGACCTGGTCTTTCCTCCCTTCAACTCCCACTGCACTGTCTACCATACCATTCAATGCTGCTCTATTTTGCTTCCTCATTCATTCATTTGTCCTTCCTTCATTTATTCATAAACATGGATGGGGCCCACTTTAGACAGTGAAGGTGAAGCTCTTAGGAGTTGGGGCCATGCCCCCATCGCTCTCCTGTCTACACTCTGTGGAGCAAGGGAGGTAATACTCATTTCCATCACTCCTCAGTGAGTCAATAGTCAGTGGGGAGGCTGAGGCCCCTTTCACCTACTATTTCTATGGATTGGCTTAACTCTGCTTCTCAGCAAGCTCTGGGCGTTAGGGGTGAGTGAGGGGATGGAAGGGGGCATCAATCCAGTGCGAGCATAAGTTCTTCTCAGGGACCCAGATATCCATCCCTCAAGACCTCAGTTTTTGTCCTCCTATTGCAGCGCTTGACCTCAAGGATGTGGATACAGCCCTCCCTCCAGCACCCATCACTGGGGTGTAGAAGAATGCAGACTGCCCTAGAAATGCAGTTGGGTGTTCTCCTCATGCAGCTTTCCTGCCTGCCTTTCTGTAAGCTATCATCCCTCCCCGCTGAGCCAGAAGATCTCTAAGGCCCCCTCCAGCTCTACCCTGCAGGCCTGTCTCTTCACCCCAACTCCTTCCCCAGTTCAGAGAACCCGACATCCAGCTGCCCCGCCCCAGCTCTGGGTAAACAGGAAGCTGGGTGAGGGGAGCAGGGGTGTGGGGAAAGTCCCAGTCAGGTGTGTGGGTCTATGGGGAGGGGGTGGCCCCACCCCTTAGGTATGAAAGCCCCCCTGCCCTGGCCCTAGCTCAGTTTCAATGGGGGCACTGTGGCTAGAGGGCTGGGGTAGGAGGCCCCAGGGGAAGGGCTGCCTCCTGCTGGCTGTGGCGGGAGCCACTTCCCTGGTGACCCTGCTGCTGGCTGTGCCTATCACTGTCTTGGCTGTGAGGGCCTTGGTGCCCCAGGAGCCAGGAGGAGGACTGGTGAGTAGATGCAGCAAGCCTTAGAAGGGCGTATGCTAATGCCCACTTACCTCTCTCGATGCCTGGGGGTCTCTTGTGTCATCCTGCTCAGTGGGCTTGGCTGTGCCTGGTGGGGATGCCTTGTCTGTCTCTTTGCTGGTCCTCCTTCCATGTTCTGTGACGCTATTGTGTCCTGCTAGCTCCAAGCTCCTTCCTGCTTGTGTGGCTATCTCCTCTCCTCTTCCCATCACATCCTCAGCCCTCCATCTCTGACCAAGTCCATATGCCTCACTTGCTGGCCCTCTCAGGGAGATGTGTGCTGGGGATAGGACTGGTGGGAATAAACCCCAGGCCTGGAGCTTGAGTCTGCGATGGGAGGGGTGGGGCTGGCATCAGCTAAAACTGAACTTTGGGCACTGTGACCCCACCCGCTCAGGTCACCAGGACCGCTGACCCGGGGATGCAGGCCCAGGTCCAGCAGCGATTGGGTAAGAGCAGACCATCTTCCCCTCCCCTGCTCCAGCCTTTCAGGGATGCCCAGCTCCCATCTATCTGCACCCCGATGTACTCTTCCTCTGGAATCCCACCCGGGCACCCTGTCCTCTCAGGGGCACCACGCATGGATGACCACCCTGGCCCCCAATAGTGGACTCTTCCCCTCTTCCAGGGTCACAGGAGCTGCCAGAGGAGGAAACAGAAGCAGATTTCAGTTCCAGGCTCCCCGCCGCCCACCTCATAGGTAAGGACCTCATAGGTAGTCCAAGGGGGCCGGTTCTGCTCGGCACAGTTAGACTCCCTTTGCTCTGCTGTTGCGGGGCTCGGATTGGGACCTGCATCGCCCCCTGGGCCCTACAGCGCCCACCTTCCTCTCCTCCCGCATCCCAGCCTCTCCCCTCCTGGAGCAGGAGCAGGCAAAACGCGGCCTGGATCTCCGCGCTCCGCGCTGCGCACCGCACGCGGGGGCCCCAGCCCGCTGCCCGCCTCGCCGCGGCGGGGGCGGGGGCACCCACGCGCTCTCGCGCCGGCCGCGGCCTGCAGGGGCGCAAACGCCCGCGGTCTCTCCCCGGCGCACCCCGACGTCCCAGGCCCGGGCCGTTCCTCCAGGACGGCCGCCCGGGCGCCGACAGGCCCGTCTCTCCGCAGGCGCCTGGACCAAGGGGCAGGGGCTAGGCTGGGAGGCGAAGAAGGAAGAGGCGTTTCTGAGGAGCGGGACGCTGTTCTCGGGCGCCGAGGGGCTGGCGCTGCCCCGGGACGGCCTCTACTACCTCTACTGTCACGTCGGCTACCGGGGCCGGGCGCCCCCTGCCGGCCGGGGCCCGCCCGACCCCCCGGTGACGCTGCGCAGCCGCCTGCTCCGCGCGGGGGGCGCCTACGGGCCGGGGTCTCCCGAGCTGCTGCTGGAGGGCGCCGAGACCGTCACCCCGGCCCCCGGCCCGGCCCGGGCGCGCGAGTACGGGCCGCTGTGGTACACGAGCGTGGGCTTCGGCGGCCTGGTTCAGCTCCGGAGGGGCGAGCGCGTGTACGTCAACATCAGCCACCCCGACATGGTGGACTACCGCAGGGGGAAGACCTTCTTCGGGGCGGTGATGGTGGGCTGAGGCTGGGGGCCCGGGCTGCAGGCGACCCCGTGGCCGGGGGGGAGGGTAGGGGGCCGTCGGGAGTCTGCGGGCGAGCCCCAAGAGAATAAAGTCTGTAAGGCTTTAGCGCCGCCAAACACAGGTGCCGCGCTGCTCCCGTGTCTCGATTCAGGGGGCTACACAGGTGTCCTTACGGGCTCTCTTTCTGGTTGCTTGAAACAATCCGTATCACTTCCTCTGGCCTCTGCCCTCTGAGAAGCCCATCTGCTCGGTTCCCACCCACCTCCTGCCTCTGAATGAACTTGCCCCAGCATTTTTAGCCCAGTGGGAAGGTGGAAGAAGGGCATCTCCTCAACCCCGAGGCATCTCCAAGCACCTTCTTCTCAGAGCCACCTAGTCCTCCCCAGACTCCACACGGCAGGCTTTTCTCTGGCGTCCCTCTCATCAGAGAGCCGGATGGTGACAGGGGAAGGTTAGCAGCTTCCCCAGAGCAACAGGGCTGGGGGAGAAGGAATGAAGCCCCGAGGGCCTAGCACTTCTTCCCTGCTGCCCAAAGGCCCCTTCAGCCACTACCCAGTCAACTGCCCTCCAAAGAAAAACATACAGCTCACTGGGTGTGCGGGAGGAGGTGGAAAGATAGGGGCTGGGTAAACCTGGAGAGGAAAGGGAGGAGGAAACTCTGGGACCACTGGCCCTGTCCAGGGTGAGATGGAAAGTCCTCACCCCTCGTTCACACTTCAGGTCTGCTTTCCATATATCACTGGCAAGTGTGGGGGCCCCAGGGCGAGTAACAGCAGTCCCCTCACCCCATGCACCCCATGACCGACTTTCAGCTCTAGGCTGGAGGAGGCCCTATCTAGGTCACTCCAGTGAGCCATCCCACCCCTGCGTCATACCACACAGTTTTCCCCTTCCTGCCAGAGCCGTCGGGCTTGAATCCAGTGGGGCTCCCACCCTCTGGATCTTCGACTGTGTCCAGAAGAACCAGGAATTCCTTTTTTTTTTTTTAAGAGTTTGTTCATTTATTCATGAGAGAGAGAGAGAGAGAGAAGCAGAGACACAGGCAGAGGGAGAAGCAGGCTCCATGCAGGGAGCCCGACGTGGGTCTCTATCTTGAGTCTCCGGGATCACGCCCTGGGCTGAAGGCAGCGCTAAACCGCTGAGCCACCTGGGCTGCCCAGGAACTAGGAATTCCTGAGGAGAGAGGGCCCTTTTCTCTTTCCAGCCCATCTACCTCATGACCCTCCCCTCATATTCACCAAGAACATCGGTGAGAGCTGCTATGTGAGTCCTTCACCCGTATCCTATTCCTGTTTCTGAATTTTCTTTCGTCTCTTCAATTCCACTCACTGAGAGATGGAAGCAGATAGAAAGTCAGAATTCACTGAGTGGTTACTATGCCAAGTGCTATGCTAGGTGCTCAGATGTAGCTTGGGCCTTCTCTTCTTTTGTGGACCCATTTGTGGGATGTGTTTCTGTCTTTGGTGGGTAGATGAGGCTGAGTAACTGGTTCATGTTGTACAGTTAGGGCTGCTGGGGAGCCTAGGATCAGGCGATCTGAATATCTGGGAGTCCTTTGGCTGTGATTCAGATGCCTGAGAATGTGGCCCTTCCCAGACTCTCCTACAGGCAGCAACAGCAGGAAACCTCACCTGAGCATTTCAGGTGCAGGACTTCCCCATTGGAATTCCCAGAGTTGGAAATTCCCACACCCTGAGGGAGAGGTATTAGGTTCAGGCTTCGGTTTCCTGGGGGAGGGGCCTATTTGACAGGGCTTTGTTATATGTAGGGTCTCCTGAGCCTCAGTAGTCCTGTGAGTGGAGACCGTGTTCAGGGATCATTTATTTTGTATTTTTTAAAAAATATTTTATTTATTTATTCATGAGAGACATAGAGAGAGACAGAGAGAGGCAGAGACACAGGCAGAGGGAGAAGCCGGCTCCATGCAGGGAGTCCAACACAGGACTCGATCCCAGGTCTCCAGGATCACGCCCTGGGCTGAAGGCAGCACTAAACCGCTGAGCCACCCAGGTGCCTAGGGATCATTTAAAAAATAAAAACAAAAACAAACTCTTCTCTGCATTTTTTATATGGATTCAGGGGTTTAAAAAAATTCTTCATCTATTTGAGAGAGAGCACACACGTGTGAGTGAGCAGAGGGAGAGGCAGAGAGAGAGGAAGAGAAGCGGACTCCCTGCAGAGACATGGGGCTCTATCCCACCAGCCTGAGATCACAACCTGAGCCAAAAATCAGAAGTCAGAGGCTCAACCCACTGGATGAGCCACCTAGGTGCCCCAGGTTCAAGGATCTGAAGGCTTACAGAGAGAGGACTTCAGGGAGTGGCCTCCCACCCCGGAGGAGAGGAAGATTCAGAATTAATTCCAAGAAAGAGACTGTGTTTCTTTTTTAAGCACATTTTATTTCTCGCCACTGACCAGTAGGGCGATTACAGACATAACTCCCCTGGGGAGCAGAGGTTCCACGATGTAGCGACAGTCAGTCACCAAATCAGCATTGTTTAGATAACTCTATCAGATAAATATTTTTGAAAAACATAAGCAAAAGGAGGCACAGAGGCCAGGAGGCCAGGTGGGAACAGCCTAGAGTTCAGCTCCGTTTTCACAGAAAACATGTCTGAGCCAAGGCAGCCCCTATGTTCGGTCTTCCAGGACACCCCAACTTCCCAAATAAATACATCCATCAGTAAATAAATAAATAATAAATAAATAATAAATAATCACAAGTGCAAACATAAATAGGAAGAGCTGGCTCCACGTGGGAGTCACTGGGCTTTCCTTCTCAGGAAGTCTGGAAACATATGACGAAAGGGAGGTGTGAGATCCACTCATGTCAGATTCTAGTTGAGATCTTCTCAAGGGTTGTTCTGAAGTGTTCTAGCCAGAAATGAAGGTTCCCTGACCCCCACATTCCAAGAATTCCAAGTTGCATTCAGGGATCCAAACCTGAGGCCTCCAGTGAGTGCTGGAAGCCCTGGTTTGAATTCTTGGTGGTGGCCAGTGCTGTGTCATGTCATCCGGGTCTCACATCCCTGGATCTTAGGTTTCTAAGTGTCGTTGTTTAAAGTTCTAAGCTTGAGGCCCAGCCCTGAGCCCTTAATTCTCTTTCTAAGCCCGAAGGGGGTGAGGGGTCAGAGGAAGTGAGTGATCAAAGGGTCGGTTTGGGCAAGAATGGACGTCCTACCCCCTTACAGGGCAATGATTCCAAAGTACACCTGCCCGGACTCGGCAAAGTCCAGATAGTTAGGCAGATTGATCTCAGCGCTGAGTCGATCACCCTTCTCCAGTTGGAAGACCCCTCCCAGGTAGATGGGCTCGTACCAGGGCTTGGCCTCGGTCCCCTCTGGGGTCTCCCTTTGGCAAGGGCTCTTGATGGCAGAGAGTAGGTTGACCTTTGTCTGGTAGGAGACGGCGAAGCGGCTAATGGTGTGGGTGAGGAGCACATGGGTGGAAGGGCATCCTTGGCCCTTGAAGAGGACCTGGGAGTAGATGAGATACAACCCATCTGATGGCACTATCAGCTGGTTGTCTGTCAGCTCCACGCCGTTGGCCAGGAGGGCATTGGCACGTCGGCTCAGCCACTGGAGCTGCCCCTCAGCTTCGGGGTTTGCTGGAGGGAAGAAGAGAAGGAGAGAGGGGTGAGTCAGTGTGACCCCGTCAGTTCCACTCTCCACATCCTGGCCCTCGGGTTCTGCACCCCCCCACATCCGGTTCCTGTCCCCTCTGCCTTCCCACATACCATCTGGCCATGAGATTCTGAGTATCTGCCTCAAGGCCAGTGAGTCCCTCTCATACCAACTCTAAGGTCTGTTTACCCTCAGCCTGGGGTCAGCCCCCAAATCCTATCCCTCAATAGCCGATGTGCTTCCCCATCCCCCACCCAGCTACATCCGCAGAGCTCTTACCTACAACATGAGCTACTGGCTTGTCACTTGGGGTTCGAGAAGATGATTCTGAGGAGGGAAGAGGAAAGAAAATGGTGAGACCCTTAAGCTTCCTGGAAAAGATCCCACTACTTTGACCTCCATGCCTCCTCCCCTCAAACCAGTGCCTGGATCTCCCCCACTGCTTCTCTCCCAGGATTCACTCCCACACAAGGTCAGAATGAAGAGAGAGGCTTTGGAGATACTTACTGACTGTCTGGGCAAGAGGGCTGATTAGTTGGAGGCCATTTGGGAGCTGTTGGGGAGAAGAAGGAGGTTTAGCATCAGAGCAAGTCACCCCTAAAGGAGAAACAGCTTATGCAGCTCAGACTTTAGTTTTCTCTCCCATCCATCCATTGTCCATTCATCCATATCACAACACTTTCGCGGAGTGGCTTCCATGAGCCAGACACCTTCATCTTTCCTTATCTCTTTTCTCACATTTTTCCTTATCTCTCTCTCATATTGTCCATATCTTTCTGTCTCACCATCTTTATTCATATCACTTGTTCTGTTCCCATCTCTCTACCCACAACCCACATCTCTCCACACATCTCTCTTTACATATGTCTGTCTGCGTGCTCATTCATTCATTCATTCATCATTCATTCATTCATTCATTATGCAATCCATGAGCATCTTCCATGTGCTCCTCGCTCTCCCTCTTCCATCTCTCCCCATATCTCCTTCTGCCTCCCCATCTTTCTCCACATTTTCCTCTCTCAATGGTCCCCACCAGTACCACCACCCTCCCTGGCGGGAGAATGAGCCAAGTCCTCCGTGGGGCACTCACCTCTTCCCTCTGGGGCCGATCACTCCAAAGTGCAGCAGGCAGAAGAGTGTGGTGGCTCCTGCGACGAGGAGGAAGGAGAAGAGGCTGAGGCAGAAGCACCTTCTGGAGCCCGGGGGGCCCCCCGCCTTCTTGGGGAGCGGCTCCTCGGCCAGCTCCACGTCCCGGATCATGCTTTCAGTGCTCATGGTGTGCTTCTGAGAGGGGCTCAGGTCCAGTGGGGAGACGGTAGAGCCCTGGGGCCGTGTGTATTAGAGGGAGAGAATCGTCTCGCTGCTTGTCTGGGGGGGCGTCGTCTGAGAAGTTATTTCCAGGGGCCTCTGGAGTTGCGTGTTCTCTCCCCGCTGGTCCCCTGGTGTCCTCGCTGAGGGAGCTCCTGCTGGCTGGGTGTGCAAACAGCTGCATTTATATACCCGCGGGGCGAGAGGAGGGCGGGGAAAGGCTCTCATTCAAGCAGCGGAAAACTTCCTTGGTGGAGAAACCCATGAGCTCATCTGGAGGAAGCGGTGGGGCCCTACACCTTCGGTCTCGGTTTCTTCTCCATCGTGGGGGCGGGGGTTTGGAAAGTTGGGGACACCCAGGCATCAAGGATACTTCCTACTCGCCCCCCTCGGATTCTGAGGGAGGCTTCCTGGGCCAGTCACTGCTGTGTACATTGTGTAGGACCCTGGAGACTGGACCCCAGTTTCCCTCTGCCCCCAATTCCCATTCCCTCCATTTTTTTTTCTGAGGTTCAGGTCTGCGGGCTGTTTTCCTCTGATTTCCAGACTGGACTTGGTAGGTGTAGAGCCAGAAAGGTGCAAGGGGTGGGGCTTCAGAAAGCAGAGTCCTTGGTGGGGAGAGAGCTTGGAGAGGGAGCTATGCAGGGTCCTGACACGTGTGTTTGGGTCCCTGGGGGGGGGGGAGCAGCTTGATAGAAGGGAGCATGAGGCTGGAGATGTGGATGGGGTCCCTGATGGGCTGGGGAGGGGCGGTAAATGGCAGGGACCCACCCGGGGCAGCCCCTGTGGGAGCGAAATCAAGCCTGGGAATTCACCCCACGAGGGCAGGCTTCTCCTTTCATTCTGACCGGGAACTGAGCAGTGCTGGTTTCAGTCTTGGCTTCCAAGGGACTCTGAGCCCTCGATTTTTGCATGAGCTCTCCTCTGTCAGAGCTCCTGTGTGTGGCCTTGTGTCCCAAAGAACTCCATGCCCCCAGATTTCTGGAGATAGCCCTAACCGTCAGAGCCCCTCTGTGTGACCGTGACCATGTCTCCTAAAATGTCTCCCATGTTCCCCACCCCCCTAACCTGGGGGTCTCCCATTCCTTAGGGCCCTTGCACAGCCATTCTTCCAGAGGGTCCCTGTGCCCAGCCTTCGGCGTGGTCGCTTCTCCCCAGAGGACTCCTGTAATCCCTTTTCCTCTGAGCCTCCACACTTAGCCGTCTGAGCCCACCGGGCCCTGACCTCCACTCCTGCAGACCTTGGGCTCTTATTTTTCCTTTCTCTTCCCAGCTTATCCTTCAGTTTCCCTGAGCAGTCTGGCTGCCTCACCCCTGTGATCCTGCCACATCCCCCCCCCCCCCAGCTCCTTAGGCCCCTTCATCTCCTTGCAGCTCCACAGTTCCTGTCTCTTCTGAGGCCCCTGTCCCCCTTCCATTTCTTTGAGACCAGGAAAATTCTCCCCTCCCAGACAGACAGACATAGACAGCGTTTCAGAGAAAAGAGGTTTATTGGGCTTCATTGAAGGTGCAGATGTCTCCTCATGGGGTGTCTAGTCAAGCAGTGGTTGGATCTGAAGAGTCCTTTGCTTCCTTCTAGAGCTCCCTGGTGTCTCAGACATGCTTGGTTTCTCTTTCACTGGGTTATCCTTATGCCGATGTTCTCTTGCTCTTCATCTCTTGGGCATATTTCTCTCTCTCTCTCTTCTGGTGGACTTCTATTATTCCCTTCCCTCCATTCTCCATAAATAAATAATTTAATTTTTTCCCCTTCATAAATAATCCCCCCTCCCCTGCCTTCTGTTATCCACCCAAGCTCCTCCTGGTGTCTGCCCCCTCCCTGTCCAGGGCTAGGTCCTCCTTAGACTGGTAGGACAGTTGGAGAACCGGCAGGAATTTCTAGGCAGAACTCGAACTCCTCAGCCTAGCATTGGGGTATGCTGAAGGGAGGTATGGTCCCCTGAAGTGCCTTAGAATTCCTTCTTTGGAAGCTCTAGGTAACACTAGCAGGGGAGACTTGAGGCTATTGGAAGGGTCAAAAGAGAGGCATGGTGACCCTTGAAGTGGTCAGAATGGAGGCAAAATGGGGAAAAGGTCTTGAAACCAATTTTTTTTTCTGGATTTTTCTACAGAGCGAAGGCTCCAAAGAAGACACTACTGGGGCTGAGGAGTAGGTGGGAGATGCCATCGGTGTGAGTGGATAGCTGATCTCCCTGGGTAAGCAGGAACACAGCTCCCTGGTACACAGAGCGCACCCAAGGTCCTTGTGGCCCTGGGCACACAGACTTCTGAGCACTGAGGAGAGGCACATGGAAGGGGTACTGGGAGGAAAAGAGCTGGACCTCATGGGCCAGGTAGAGTGGGGTGGGGGTGGCCTTGGGGAAGCAGCCTTCCCCTGAGAAGACCACCTGGGAGTAGACAAAGTAGAGGCCACTGGTGGGGACCAGGAGGGAATTGTTGCTCAGAGAGAAGCCATGGCGGAGGAAGGCACGATCCGTGTTTGCTCTCCAGCGCAGCGAGTTCTGGATGCTGGGGTCTCCTAGGAGGAGACAGAGGGAACAGGAGGGGTCAAGAACCTGGGGTGTCAGCAGTCTTAAACCCTGAGGAAGTAGGTACTGGGCTGAGTTCCTGGGGGTGGCTGGGAGGACAGATGGGAGTGGGATACCTCTATGTGGGAGGGTGGGGGAAGTTAGGGGAGAAGTGCACTAGATGTTTGGTCCCTTGAAGGGGGTGTGGGAGGAGAGCTGGGAGCCACATGTCCAGAGCGCCAGGTGCTGTTTACCAATAAGATGAGCAGCAGGTTTGAGGGTGCCTTGTATGAAGTGCTTCTGAGGGTGCTGGTAGGCAGTCCGGGCAGCCGAGGGTGAGATGCCGGCACCAGGAAACCCCTAGAGGACAAAAGGGTGGAGGGTGGCTTAAGGCCCAAAGTGTGGCTGGACGACCCCTGCAGCCCCCATTCTCCTGCTGCCTCACCTGGGCCCCAGGCGGCAGTCCCAGCAGCAGCCCCAGGAGGAGGAGGACGGGGGCGCTGCGCACCCTCAGGAGGTAGAGCCTTCCAGGTGGTGTCATGGGGAGAACCTGCAGGGAGAGAGCCGGTGAGTGGTGCGCGCCGCGGGGTGAGCGGGGCGGGGCTGGGGGGGGGCGGAGGACGGGCCTCCCGCCGGCCGACAAAGCCCGGGAGAGACCGGGCAACAAGAGAAGGGAACAGGATGCAGTCAGGGAAAGCCCGGCTGAACAAGGGGGGCACAGAAAGAGAAACAGACTAGAGAGGGGAACAGAGAGGTATCGTGGTAGAAACAGAGAACGTGTGACAGAGACAGAGAAAAAAGTCTGATTGATGAAGCATCAGAGGGAGGGGAACAAACCGACAGTGAACCCACCCAGGCCCAGCCCCAGGCAGGAGGTACTGGGGGGCTGGGGCGCAGGCAGAGGGGCAGAGTGCCCAGCGGGGTCTGCCACCCACGGGGACGACGGGGCGGAGAGTCTCACCTGCTAGGCTGGGTGCCTGGGCCCGGACGCCTGGGTCCCCTTTATAGAGGAAGCGGCAGTGGCAGCGTGGCAGGCGGGCGGGTTCTAGGCCCCCGGCTGGGCCCGGGGAAGCCCCCAGGGCTTAGAAGATGCTGCCGTTTCAGTCGAAGGCAGGAAAGGCTGAGGCCTAGGAGTGAACCACAGGCTGGGGGCTCAGACGACTGAGTTCTGGGAAAGGGAGCAGGTCAGGGGAACCGTGGGCTGGGAGGACCAGGGAGCGGGGTCAGGCCCAGGAGTTCCAGAGAAGGGACAGTCAATTCGGAGAGGAGGAAGGGAGCAGCTGGGGCGTGGGCTGGAGGCCAGGTTCCCTGAAGAGCCATTATATAGAACACCTCTGCACCATTGATCACAGGCTACTCTCTGTGCCCATTTCCTCCTCGTGTACCCCCAGCCTTGTCCCAAATGGTTCAAATCACACTTGTCCCCGTGTGTGTACTTTCCTGGCCGTCTGGCAGGTTTTAGATCAAGAAGTTGCATTATATATCCCTTTGCCTGGGGCATTCTGGTTGATGCCTGTTGTCCTGGTGAAAATGTTCATGGATCTCCCTTTTGTTCTCAAAAGTGTCCTGGTTTGGAAGATGAATGTCATGGTTCCCCTACTTAGGGATATTGCCATGGGCTCACATATGATGAAGTCTCATCTCACTCGTGAAGAATGTCCTTCACCTCACCCCACCTTAGGTGGCCTCCATAGATTAGATTTTTTTTTTAAAGATTTTTATTGATTTATTCATGAGAAACAGAGAAAGAGAGAGAGAGAGGCAGAGACACAGGCAGAGGGAGAAGCAGGCTTCCCATGGGGAGCCTGATGTGGGACTCGTCCCCAGGACTCCAGGATCACTATTTGAGCCAAAAGTAGATACTCACCCACTGATCCACCCAGGTGCCCCAGATTTTTTTTTAAAGATTTTATTTATTCATTTATTTAGGTGGGGGAGGTGGGGAGAGTGTGTGAACAGGGTGAGGGGCAGAAGGAGAGGGAGAAACAGAATCCCAACTAAGCAGACTCCCTGCCAAGCGTGGAGCTTGAAGTGGGGCTTGATTCCAAGACCCCAAGATCATGACCCGAACTGAAACCAAGAGCTGGATGCTTAACTTGATGAGCCACCCAGGCGTACCCCCCACTCCAGATCGGATTTATATAACCACAAACAAACACACACTCTGGGATTAAGGAATGTAGCAACTTCCAAAGTTCTCTACAGGGAAGGAAGGCAGGAGGAGCTTGAGGGTACTGAGCTAGGGTCAACTCTGAAAGACTTGTCTGGAAGCTGCATTTGCAGCACCAGTATAATGTTTAAGATTTCCCCCTTTTAACTTGGGTACAGTAAGGTGCGTATCTGTTAAATTTACAGCCTGATGAGCTTTTCCATCTGTTCATGTAGTCACCACCCAGTTCAACATATTTTTGGGTCTCTAAAAGGTTCTTTCATGCTCCCTCCCAGTTGATAACCTCTAAAGATAACCAACCACTTTCTGACCTCTATCACCATAGATTAGTTGTCTCTGCTTTTGAATGTCATATAAATGAAGTCATACAGAATGTACTTGTTGGGTTTGGCTTCTTTCACTCAACATGATGTTTGTGAGATCCATCCATGTGATTTGCATGTTCAGTATGTTGTTTTTGTTGTTGTCGCTTTTCATTATGATGCAGCAATCTATTGTGTGAATATACTCTAATTTATTTGCCCATTTCTGTTGAGAGACATTTGGTTTGTTTCTAGTTTTTGGTTACTCTGAAAGATGTCGATATGAACATTCTGATACATGAGCCAGTTTTCACTTAATTTGTATGTAACAAAAAGCAAGGTTTATAAATATGATTTTTTAAAAAGATTTTATTTATTTTTTCATGATAGACACAGAGAGAGGGGCAGAGACGTAGGCAGAGGGAGAAGCAGGCTCCATGAGGGAGCCCGATGTGGGACTCGATCCCAGGACCGTGGGATCACACCCTGAGCCAAAGGCAGATGCCCAACTGCTGAGCCACCCAGGCATCCCTCTAAGTATGATTTTATCCATGTTTTAGAAGACTGAGAAAATCACAACTGGCTTTCTCAAGTATCACCATTTTTATTGGTGTTGTTATGCTTTCATCTTGAGGGTTTTATTTATTTTATTTTATTTTTAAAGATTTTATTTACTTATTCATGAGAGACAGAGAGACGCAGAGACAGGAGAAGCAGGCTCCACACAAGGAGCCCAAATGGGACTCGATCCCAGGACTCTGGGATCACGCATGTCCTGAGCTGAAGGCAGACGCTAAACCTCATCTTTGAGGGTTTTAAATGGCTAAAGCCCCCCCACCCCCACTATGGCATTGGGCATATTGCTGTTCTCTGGCACAAAGGTTCTGAATGGTCTTGGTGCCCTGTGGCGCACATAAGTAGCATTCAGGGTTTGTATCAGTCATTTCTCCTGCTTTCCTCCCCCTTCTTTTTTTTTTTTTTTTAGATTTTATTTATTTATTCATGATAGACATAGAGAGAGATTGAGGCAGAGACACAGGCAGAGGGAGAAGCAGGCTCCATACCAGGAGCCCGACGTGGGTCTCAATCCCGGGACTCCAGGATCGCGCCCTGGGCTGAAGGCAGGCGCTAAACCGCCGAGCCACCCAGGGATCCCCTTTCCTCCCCCTTCTTGAGGCTCTTTGTCTTTCATGCCTTCCTGGTCCGATAAGAGTATTATTTTTTTCATTCTCCTTCTACCTCTTTAGCTTTCTCTCTATTTCACAAATGTTTATTGAGCATATTGCACAAGGCATCAAGGTTACAGGTTTGAAAGACGGTCCCCATGACCTCTAGGAGCTCAAAGACCAGTGTGGAAAATAGGAAAGTTACCAGATATTGCAATAAAGTGTGATAGTGGGCTTATGGCAGTCCATAGAAAAGCCGTTGAACTTGGCCTGGGGGTGGGTGGGTGTCAGACATTAACTGTGGAGAGACAGCCTGAGCAGGACATAAGGGAGAGGGAGAGGGAGAATCTTAAGCAGGCTCCACATTCAGTAGAGCCCAACATGGGGCTTGACCTCATGACCCTGAGATCATGACCCCAAAATCAAGAGTCAGGTGCTTAATCAACTGAGCCACCCAGACACCCCTTCATAAGCATTTTAGTAGCACTTGGTGTTCTACCAAGAAGATCTTGAAAAACTTGATTTGGGTAAACTCAATGGTCTCATTCTTAGGGCTTTCTTCTAGGTCGCCACACATTGCAGGAGAGTTATGTAGCCAAAAGAGGCCTTCTGCTAACCCTTGCCATCTAACCTCAAAAAGCCCTCAGTATTTCTCAATCCTTCTTTCTTGATTCCCCATTATAGTCCTGCGGGTTCTCTATCTTAGATGTTCTAAATCTCTGTGCCTGTTACACCTCAACTTTACCTCTTCACTCTCAATTGGTGATGCTGTCATCTATTTCATTGAGCTCTGGCCATTCAAGCTGAATTTCTTCACTTTTTTTTTCTTTCACTTTATTCACACTTTGGGTACAAATAGAAGGGGCAGAGATGAGGCTTGCGAGGGAAGCTGAGAACACATTCTGAAGGGTTTAAAACCAAGAAAAGTTTTTGTTTCATTCTAACAATGATGGGAAGCCACCAAAATTTTTAAGTGAGAGAGGGACTCACTTGGTACATCAGAAAAATGAGTCTGGAAGCTGCATGAAGAATGGACTAGTGTACAGGAATTGAGGGGCTGGAGGGAAAAGCAAAATGTGGAGAGCAGTCAGGAAAATTGTATAATAATCCAGCAAGAAGATGACAAAATGAGGAGGCAGCAGGAGGACAGAAAGGACAAGAGAGTTTCTAGGAAAAATCTACAGGTCTTGGGGGCTGACCAGATGTAATGGAGGAAGAGTAGCCATAGATATCCCTTTTAATTATCTTGGTCTGGGAGGGGGACTGGCTCAGTCAATTAAACATCAGACTCTTGGTTTCCACTCGGGTTGTGATCTCAGGGTTGTGAGGTGGAGCTCTATGTTGGACTCCATGCTCAATGAGGAGTTTGCTTGAGTTCTCTCACTCCCTCTCTCTCGGCCCCTCCCCTGAGCTCTTGCATACACTCTCTCTCTAATAAAGAAATCAATCTTAAAAAAAAAATCTTAGTCTGTAACTTGGCTTCTTCTTAATTCTTTTAACCTACTGTCTCTTATGTCACTGTTGGTTTCCCTCTTGGTCTCTGCTCCTTTCCTTTCCTCTGTGTGTGTGTCTCTCTCTCCGGGGTTCCTTTTCCTTCCTGTTGTCTCTTTCTGTGTCTCTAATGGTAGGAGCTAATGGACTAAGTGACCTCAGTTATATTAAAATATAAAACAGTGTTGCAATTAATGGTGAGAAACCGAGAAAGGGAGAAACTTAGGTCAGAGAGGAAGACAGGGCATTGAGGAACAAAAAGGGGAAGGCAAGGAGTGATAGGACATGAGAGACAGAGAGGAAGGAAGGGCAAGACTGGGCTGAGGCTCAGTGTCACAGGCGTTTGTGATGTGCTGAAGGACGCTCCTCAAGATGGACCAATCTTGGTTTCAATCTCAGTTTCGGAGGTTGT